TCGCATTCCCTGGCTGTTGCCTTCTCGTGAGTTGCTCTCCCCACACAGATTCCCAGCCTCGCCCTGTTGTCTTCGGCCCTCCTCTGTGGAAGGCCCCAAGAAAAGGGGTGAACCCCTTTGCCTCCTCACAGGCAGTTAATATCCTATTCAGGAAGGCATTTAGCATTTAAGCGTACTTGTTGATGAACAAGGTTCTAGGTTTTAATCTAATATGTACTAATAGCTCTTTTTAATGTGTGTTAATATTTTATTTATATTTTTGTTGTTTCATTATTATGTGCTGACCACTATTTTCAGTGGAAAACCAGGTTATAAATGTAATAAATAAATACACAGATAAATTCCTAGTGTTGGATAACTGTTTCAATTCTTCAGCACAACTTTAGCCATACATAGATTGTGTTAAAGTTTTGTTCATCTTCGTTCATCTTCACAATAAAAATGTGTTCCTTCCTTCCTTGATTATGTTGGAAATGAAAATTGTTCAACCCATAGAATGTGAAGTTTTTCAACTTTTACGATCCTTATCGGTGATGTTACTCAATTGGTAAGATTAACAGAGACATCCAGATAAAGGCTTCTAATCTGGGGAAGGTTGTTAAAATTGAGCAGCATGGTGATCTATGAAACATTAAAATGTGTTTACAGGGGAGCAATTCTCGGTCTACTTGATGACTGTATTACCGTATTTTTCACTCTATAAGATGCACCTGACCATAAGACGCACCTAGTTTTTAGAGGAGGAAAACAAGAAAAAAAAATATTCTGAATCAAATGGTTTACTAAACTATTTCATAAACTATAACAGAATACAGTAATACCGTATTTCAACCTTGTAAAGTGAACAGCAGTCAACAGTGGCATTAAGAACCATCATCACTGTCATTAACAAAAGAGAGACTTTAAAGTTCGAGTACTCTTCTAGTTTTCGTTGAACCCATAGAACTCATCATCACTAGAATCAGAATTTATGAAGCTCTGTTGCTCACAATCACTGACATCACTTTCTTAGTCAGTAGTGGAATTATTGAAGGAATCCACAATCTACACCAGTTATACAAGAGCTGCTGTGGACAATTCCATAACAAATCTAAAAAAGCCAGTAATGTCCACGCTGCCCTACTAGTAAATAATAGAAAAAAACTTCTGACAAAAAATGAGATATTGTATGGTAAATCAAACACACAGCGGACTAAGTAGCCTTTGAAGAATAAACTTCATACACGAAGGTAATGCTGTTCAAATATCCACTGATCCTAAAAAAAATGTGTCTGCTCAACTAACAGATAACTGATCCATGGAAAGCTTCCTGATAATCACAGGCACATTCCCCATCACTTCCCCATGGGCTTCATTAAAAGATGGTTTGCCATTTGAAAACACACACTGACCTGTGATTAATAGCTCTCACCTGCGCCGGAGAAGGGGGGAGGAGCAGGGTGCGCCAAGCGCGTGCCGGCCAGGTGGTGCCACGTGGGGCTGGCAGCGTGCTGGCGGTGATCTTCTGGGTGGCGCGGTGGCAGGTCTTCCCAGGTGGTGGCGGTGAGCAGTTCTCGGGTGGTGGGGTGAGCAGTCCATCTCTTCATGAGGCCGGTGGGTTAAAGCCCGCGGCTCCTCCTCCTCCGCACCTCTCCCCCTGAGCGGCACAGCTCTCACCTGTGCTGGGGGGTGCAGAGAAGGGTGTGCCAAGCGCGTGCCGGCCAGGTGGTGCCACGTGGGGCTGGCAGCATGCTGGCGGTGATCTTCCGGGTGGCGCGGTGGCAGGTCTTCCCAGGTGGTGGGGGTAAGCAGTTCTCAGGTGGTGGGGGTGAGCAGTCCATCTCCATGCAGCTGGCAGGTTAAAGCCTGCGGCTCCTCCTCCTTCTCACCTCTCCCCCTGAGCAGCACAGCTCTCATCTGTGCTGGAGGGGGGAGCGAAGCAGGGTGCACCAAGCGTGTGCCGGCCAGGTAGTGCCACGTGGTGCAGGTGGCCGGCAGCGTGCCGGCGATGGTCTTCTGGGCAGTGTGGCAGCGGCGGTTGCAGCGGAAGGTCTTCCTGGGCGGTGGGGGTGAGCAGTCCATCTCTCCATGCTCTCTGTGCAGCCAGCGGGTTAAAGGCCATGGCTCCTCCTCCTCCGCACGCCTCCCCCTGAGAGGCACAGCTCTCACCTGTGCTGGCGGGGGGGCGGAGCAGGGTGCATCAAGCGCGTGCTGGCCAGGTGGTGCCACATGGGGCCGGCAGCGTGCTGCCGGTGATCTTCCGGGCGGTGCGGTGGCAGGTCTTCCCAGGTGGTGGGGGTGAGCAGTCTGTCCCAGGCGTCGGGCACATACACATTCGCTCTATAAGACGCACAGACATTTCCCCTTACTTTTGAGGGGGAAAAAAGTCCGTCTTATAGAGTGAAAAATACGGTATATGCATTTAGGAATTTAATTTGTAAGGATTATAATCTATAGCTTTATGCAACAGTATAGACTGGAGTAGAACTGAATGTAACTGCAAAATGTTGTATTCTAGTACCAACTTGTAATTTAAAGGAAGTTAAGTTTAACAACGGCATGGAAGTGTTTCTGCTTATTGTAAATGTATCTGCTGGTGTATATACTTTTTAATTCGAAGATTCACCGAACTCCTAGGCAAGAATGGGTAGAAAGTCAATATGACATTTTTAAAGAATAGTGTGAAATCACTTCTGTTCTGTAAGCAAATGCACGTTTCTCTTCTTTGAGAAGCTCTGGAAAATAGTTTTGTAGGTTATTGGAATGGTCCACTGGAACTGTGCTGTATGTATTGCAACTTGTCCTCAGGAATGAGCAAATGGAACCTATGGTGACCCACCATGAGCTTTTGGCTAGCTGTTTTATGGATAATGTCACTAACATCTGCTCTGACTTTGTTCCTTGGAAAATATGCATTCTTCTTTCTGTGGTAACAATCTTTTTCAGCCTCCTATTTATCTCTTCAGTTTTTGTAATCTCAGTGAGCAAAAGAATGGAGCTTTGGAAAAAACCCAATCTCAAAGTTGAATGTAGTGTCACATGGGCTGGAGCTATTTGTAAACAGAAATTTCTAATCCAGAAAAAAGAATTTCTGTACCCTTAGTCCAGTTTCCTGTACAGAAGCTATTGCTTGTTTGTTTCTGTATTAATAATTCATCAGGACATTAAGGTGTCTTAGCAGCATTTTCTTCCTGTTTTGCAAAGAACGTGCCTTCATAAAAATAAAAAAAAAAGATTTATATCCTCTAATCATATACCACTAGATTTGACACATAATATCACAATCCATCACCCTTAATTATGATGGACCTGAACTAGCATAATTTTTATGTTGCCTTTTTCCCTGATATGAAATAGTCTAATTGAATATTCGAAAGACTTATTTCTAGTCCTAGAGAGGAATTTGTCAGGCTGGTGGATTTTAGGATATTGTGTCATGATTTGTGCAGTCTACCTTTGTGATTCTGAAATGCTACGATTTTGATAATTATCTGAGCTTGTTTTTATTAATTTACTTTTCTGTATACAGCCTAGTGGCTACCTAAATGAAAATCTCTGCCAAACACAATTGAGTCTTTTATGTGTTTATTTTTGCCAACTTCCCTTTACCTTGGAGCCTAGGCTGACAACCTGAATACAAAATTCATGGTTGATTTTATTCAGGAGTTGTTTCATTAATTTCAGCTAATTTTTACTCAAGTATGTAGGCAGATATATTGTGATTGAAGGACAGACCTAAATAATAATAAATAGGTGTACATGTACTACTTTTTGTCTCCCATTCCTCTCTTTTTTGAAGTACACAAGATTGATAAATGTGAGAGTTGTGTTCCTCTCAATTGCAAGTTTTGCACCTGGGCCCATATCCTTGGTAATGAATGCTCTTCACCATCTCCTAAATCTCAATCTTTGTGCAGAGCTTAGGATCACATTTGAAATGCATCATGAGCATGGGAAGTTTCATCTAAGTGGTGTAATATTCCAGGTATCCATTCTCAGGAGAGAGAAGCTCAGCTGTAGAAGGAACTTTACTATAAGTGGGAAATGTCTTTTTTGGTTACAGATACAGAAGCTGATGAAGTAGCAAGCAGGGAATACCTGTTCTTATGGATGTACACATTTTGTTGTGTTTTGGGTAATTCTCACCCACTACAAAGTGTTTTGCATAAATCTCCCCATCCCATAAAAAGTTTCTTTTACAAAGTCTATAAGTTCGTAGGATCCATATAACTCACAAAAAGCTAGCACTGAGGTAACTGCAGGTCAGATTCATAAAAATCCCACAGCAAGCACGATAAGCATTTATGGAATCTGCTCCCTGGTGCTCCTGGTGCTGTTGCTAATTTCCTTCTGATGGTGGTTTCAATATTGTTTTAACATTATTGATATGTGCATTTTTGTGACTTTTTGCCTGATTGCCATATTTGCACTGTTTTAATGGCTTTTATTCTTTTAATTGTCTTATTTAATGGTTCTTTTTACAGTTTTTATTTAATTGTCATTTTTACTGTTCTTATTTGTTTTTATTGTAAGTCACCCAGAGAGCACTTTGGGCTATGAGGTGGCATATAAATATTATAAATAAATAAAACAATGCAAACTCATTAGAATCTACTGAGGATTTCTCTGACATCCCTCTCTGTTCCATAGCATATCAGTTCTGCAGGAATAGCATCACCAAGACTGCCTCACCATCCAGTTCTCCAGAATCTAGAACTGTGTTTGCTTTCTCTAGCCAAATTCCATCTTCTTTCTAAGTATCTTGGCTGATACTTAGGCTTTGGCAAATAAGTGTCACAACCAGTTCTCTAGTTGAGAATTCAGCTAGTTGAGTGTGATTTGGTCCTCCAGTCATCCAAAGTGATCTAGCCATGCTAGAAACACGGGTAATATGATCCAGAAGAATATTTTAAATCTACATATCACATAATTAAAATGGTTATGTTTTCTATGCAATGCCTTTTGTGCAGTTTTTCTAGTGTGAGACTAATTCATATTCACTAGCTAAGTTTTTCTTCCAGCCAGGTGGAGGTGAACAAGAGTCTTGCCATTGTGAACACCTCTGAATCTTGAGATAGGGTAAGAAACTGTGATGTTTGGAAATGTAATACATGCAAGGTTTTATTTTATTTGCTTTCTGTAACTCAGTAACTTTATATTTCATTATTCATCTGAACAAGTAGGAGACCTACGGATATAAAATCATCACAGATCTATCTCCAATTTCTTTAACTTATTATTATCATTTGTATACCACCTTATCTGCTTAGAGCCCTCAAGAAGTACACAACAATTTAAACAACAAAATCCTGCAACAAATAGAAATAACAGCATTCAAACAGTAAAAACTAGATGCTTCAAAAAGCTAAATTGGAAAGATTCTTTTTAAAGGCTGAGAGAATGAGGTCCGGTTGTAATTTTTCAAAAAGCGCATTCCATAGTTTGGGAGTGAAACAGGAGAGAACACTTCCATGTGGGCCACTTCAGAAAATGGTAACTTCAAAAGGTTTTCTCCTGCAGATCTTGACACAGGTTTTCCCTTAGATAGCCAGGCCCTGGTTGTTTAGGGCTTTAAAGCCTTGAATGGAACCCAGAAAGTAACTGGCAACCCATGCAGGTCTTTAAGAACAGATGCAATATGTTCTGGATACCAAGACACAACTAGATGTCACTTTTTGTACCAAAGAATGTAAGTACTGTTCAGGGGTAAACCCCTCCCCCCCATAGAGTAAATTGCAAATAGTCTAAATGAGATGTAAGCAAGACATGGATATCTAATGTAGGGCTTGCTTTAATATATTCCAAAAAGCAGTCCTGCAGCAGCCTGCCACAAGAGGATTTATGGGCAATTGTGAAAGCTTGTGTCAACTGTGTCTTGATTCAAGGTTTGGAAGCAAACTATATAGACCAAATATGATCCGAAAGAGAACAAACCTTGTGTAGTAAGCTTCACTTTAGGAAGGGGAAACTGGTACTGTCAGCAGAGCTGACTATTTTCAGTGCACCCACTGCAGCCTCCCACTCTACAAGACACTGATATATGCACTGGTAGCCTGCAGGCCAATTCAGCTCAGGAAGCCATTTTATCTGACTCCTGAGTTTAACAACTATTTAAGCTGTTGTCCATGATTGCCTTGGAAAGGGAAATAAAATTGTTTTCAACAGTTGTGAGAGCTGGGTTGTATACAGTGCTTGTTCTTTGCTAGAGCTTGACAGCAGAGAAATAAACAGAGTTGCAAGTTGGAATGAAATGCTAAGCAGGCCAGGGATGGGGTTTTCCTGGCTTGCTGAACCACTCCTGCTAGCAGGAGAAGCCAAGCAGGTGCCATCAAGCCATGTGCACATGCATATTGTCTTGTTGACATTGTCCAGAGTTTGAAAGGACACTGTTGTATGTGAACTGGAAATATGTGAACTGGCACTCCTGTTCCCTTAGGACTCACCCACAGACAAGGTGGACTGCTACAACTCTGGCCTTCACTCTCTCAATTCAGCCTCTGAGGGTCAGCCATTCTGCTGAGCATCTGCATTAGGGTTGAGCAAATTTGTATATTTTTAGTCCATGTCACTTCAACATCTGTTCATGCATAGCTCTGATACATCTTGTTGCTGCATCAGATCATGATTTGCTTTTATTTTTTTAAAAAATACACAAAAACTTACATTACATCTTTGTTAAAAATAAAGCATACACATTTTTAAATGTCTTTTGCCACTTTTGAAGTTGTGTGTCAGAAATTTGGGGAATGGAGAAATTACTGGATAACTTAGTTCCAATCTGCACCTCAGTTCAGCAGTGCAGATCAGACTAGTGTATATAAAAGTGAGCAAAGACCTTCACATATGCCTACTTCCAAGTATCAGATCTGATTTGGCCATCCAGTCATAGGGTAGGACAATGTTATGCATTCACCAGAAACTAGGCTAGAACCAATGCTTTTGGTGGAAGCAAAACTATGGCTGGCTGGAGAAAGCTGTGAGTTGCTGGACTTTTTCTGTCTCAGCATGCATAAGGATGCACTCTAAAATATTCTCTGCTAGAATAGTGCAGAATGGAAACAAGTGGCTCCACGCATCACTATTTAATTATTCCTGAGAAATAGCTTGATCAATTGACCTTGGAGTAAACTGTCCAGTACACTTTTCCACAACCCTCTCATTGTTGTAGTCAGTGATTTAGGCAGAGTTGGAGAAGAAGATGAATCTTACTTTTGTACACTTTGAAGTTCTTTTCTGTACAGTGAACTTGTGGAGAAAGGGAGGGAGGGAGGGGTGGGACCATACCTGCAAGCCCTACTTTCATATCCCTTGTCTCTGAAGCCTCAATCTCTTGTAATCATGCATGGAGCAAAAGAGTGTTTACAGGCACACACATGCAGATACTTCATCTAGTCATGACTCCAAACCTGTGGGTCCCTGACTGGGCAGAACACCTATATCGTTATGGTATGATATATTCAGCTGCTCCTTTCAGACCTTGGGGACAGTGTGCAGACATCAGGGGCATGTGCAGGTCCAACTGCACATGTGAGGTCAGTAGCAAGGCCTGCAAGCAAGGTTACACTCCTACCATCCCCAAGTTCTCATTGCTGAAGTGGAGAAATATACCTCCTGTTTTATATCCCAAGAATAAATTATATTTATAAAATATAAAAGTGCAAAACTTTTTGAAGACTCCTTGTATTACTGTGCTGACAATGCTAAACACTTTATTTAGCTATGGCTTGCTTCCAGTTTCTTGGGACAGAAGGGCGAGAGTGGTAATAGAACAACAGGTCGGCTTGAACTCCCTTCTGTGGATCCCTGGGCAGAATAACTGGAGAAAGGTTTCTCTTCCCTTCTAGCACTTTCATAAGTTCCAGAAGGAGGAAGCTTCTTTGAGGAAGAAGAAGGTAACAAGAAAGCTTCCCATGCTAGATTTCAGTGGAGTATGGTGGCTCAGTGTGGGAGCAGATCTCAGGAGAAATCCCTCATTTGCAATATGGATCTGAGGATGGATACAACACTGGTCTATTTTTCAAGGCTGTTCTAAGAATTACTCAGGTAGTGTTATCAAAACAAACAATAAGGTAGACTAACATTATTACTGCCTGTCCCTTGTTCCTACCTGCCATGCCTATGGTGGGAATGTGGAAGAAAGTCTCCAATGCCAATTTCAAGGGGAGGACAGATACCTTCATGTGCAGACATGCTAAATTCTACTCTGGTCCCAGGTTGCTTAGGACTTTAAAAGTCAAAGTTTGAACTGTGACAGAAACAAAGTAGTACCCACAGCATGTTATATAATATCGGAGTACTATCATTCTTTTTTCCACATTCCTTGAGTTTAGGATGGTGGTCTTCACACTTTCAGCTTCAAGAAACCCCTTTCACACCAACTTATTTCCTAAGGAATCTCTGAATATCTGTTATGAAGGTCTTGCATGTTGGCAGGGATTGTGGGCAGAAAGCAGCTCTCCAGATATTTTGAACTGTCTATCTGGAGATCTACCTCCTTCCCACACATTCTCTTGCTGTATGGTCCTGTCCTGGGATCTTTTCCGACCAATAGCTCTCAACATAACAAATTTAAAAAGCCATACTGTAGCTATTCTGCATTTCCCTGGTGAGCAGAAAGACAGTAGCATATAGACTACCTGTTAAATTTTGTGAATGAAATGACTGCAGAACAAATGCTTCCCCTAGAAACACCTCAGAGCTGCTGCAGTGTTTTGCATGAACTGAGAGTACATTTTAAGTGAAGATCAAGAGGAATGAGCTGCATTTTAGAGAAGCTTGTTCTGCAGAACTGACCTTAGCAAGATAATTTTTGGAGGGTCCTCAAGGTCCCTAGGAATACAGCTTGAAAACTCAGTGGTGGGTCTGGAGGGTCTTTTAAAGTCTTTTAGGATAGTGGTTACAAATGCTGTACTATCTTGGATGCAGTTATGGATGAAAATAGCTTTACACACAGAGAGACACACTCCTTCCCTTTCAGGCACTACTTGACCACGTACAAAAACCTTTAAGAAATACTGATGAAAGAAGTAATGTTAAAAGGAAGATGCTTAACACAGCTGTGCATTATGGGTAGAGGAGTTTTAAAATTAATTTTTATATGAATTTTACCAGACCAACAAAACCATATAATAGAAAAAATGTAATTTTCTTACAGAAAATAACTTACAATAGGTATACATGAAATGTTTGTCCATAATGTATATATGATGCTACAGCTATCACTAGAAACATTTCAACATAAGCTTCAGAGAAGGTGGGCCAAATATTCTCATGTTTATTTATAAGAATTTGGTATTTACCCACCTGACTACTGAAAGTGTAGTTAAGTCCTATACCTGGGTTATAGGAGGTGTGAGTTCATCTATCCAATATTGTAATGTCAGTCTTTTCACTGTCAAAAGCATGTGCAAAGTCCACTTACCTGCAACAATAGATAAGTTGTTGAAGTATAGAAAGAGATAGTATAGAAGTATAGAAGACTATAGACTATACTTCAGTATAGTCTCCTTCTATACTGGAGGAAAATAATTAAAAAGAATATAAGCATCAGCAGATATTTGAAACATTCTGGTACTAAGTTTGTACAATAATTTCTAACCAAAAAGAAGTATGTGCAAAAACATTTAAGTCAGGTATTACTAGGATGACTTCTCGAAAGTTAGGTAACTTAGAAGACCCTTATTTAAAAGACATTGTGTCATCCATTTCAAGAAAGAAAGAAAGAAAGAAAAAGAAAGAGCAAGCAAGCAAGCTTTGCTGAATAGGACAGAACCTAAGATCCATAGATCTTCTGGCACACATGCAAAGTGCTCAGCCTCAATCAGTGTTTCCATTCACAAAGTAGATTTGCAAGTTGCAAATACAAGTATTGCTTTTCACCCAAAGCAGTCAAATCATATTTGGCATGCAGAGCTGACAATGACAAAAACTAATCATCCACACACATTTCAAAGTAAAAATCAATGTTTGCCACATGAACAAAAATCTTAACCATTTTTATATCTGGATTTTTCTATAAAGTCAAATTAGCATGAACATGGGTCAAAGTGTAATTGATGAAATATGCTACATCTCTCTGA